TAACTTAATATCAGTAAAGTCTGAAAAACCCAAACCAAACTTCATAGTAAATAGGAAAAAACTGAAATCTGGGATAAGATCAGGATTCCATTCTTAACCATTTCCTTTTATTATAATGCTACAAATTCTAGCCAGAGCAATTAGGCAAGAGAAGGAAAGAAAAGGGATACAAACAGGAAAGAAGAAGCCCAATTATCACTGTTCGCAGATGATGTGATTCTATACATAGGAGATTCAAACAACTCCACCAAAAGACAGATGGAGCTAATAAACAAATTTGGCAAAGGAGCAGCTTACAAAACCAACATACAAAAAACAATAGCTCTCCTATATACCAACAGCGAAGTCTGCTGAGAAAGAAATCAAGAGAACAATTCCATTCACAAAAGCCTCAAAAAAAGTTAAAAAAACAACAACATAAAAACTAGGAATAAATCTACCAAGGAGACGAAACATCTCCCTATTGAAAACTATTAAGGTAAGAGCTGAACATTGAAAAAAGAAATTGAAGACCTCAGAAGATGGAAGCACTACTCATATTCATGGATAGGTAGAATTAATATTGTTAAAATGGCCACATAACCAAAAGCAAGATAGAGGTTCAATGCAATTCCCATCAAAATACCAATAATATTTTTCATAAAACTAGAAAAAAAAAACAGTGCTAAAATTCATTTGGAAGAATAAAAGACCCAAAGCAATTCTAAGCCAAAAAAGCAATACTGGAGACATTATGATACCTGACTTCAAATTATACTACAGAGCTTCAGTACCAAAAACAGCATGGTACTGGCATAACAACAGACACATAGATCAATGGTACAGAATAGAAAACTCAGAGAAACCCACACAGATACAGTCATCTGATCCTTGACAAAGGTGCCAAAAACATGCCTTGGAGAAAAGACAATTTAACAAATGGTGTTCGGAAACTGGTTATCCACGTGTAGAAGAATGAAACTAAGCCCTTATACCCCGCACAAAAATCAACTCAAAATGGATCACAGACCTAGGAATTAGATCAGAAACTACAACTCCTAGAAGAAATCTTAGGGCCAACATTCCAGCGTTTAGGCACAGGCAACAACCCTCTCCATAGGACCCCTACAGCTCAGGAGGTAATGCCAGGAGTTAATAAATGGAGTGGCATCAAGTTAAAAAGCTTCTGCACAGCAAAGGAAACAATTAGGAATGCAAAGAGAGAACCTACAGAGTGGGAGAAAATCTTCCTAGCTACTCTTCTAACAGAGGATTAATATCTAGAATGTACAAAGGACTCAAAAAACGTCACACCAAAAGGTCACATGACCCAATTAATAAACGAACAAATGAACTAAACAGACACTTCTCAAAAGAAGAAATACAAATGGCCAACAAATACATGAAAAAATGTGCAACATCATCAATAATTAGGGCAATGCAAATCAAAACTACCTTGAGATTTTATCTCACACCAGTCAGAATGGCAGTCATCAAGAACACAAATAATAATAAATGCTGGACAGGATGTGGAGAAAAGGGAACACTTTTACACTGTTGGTGGGGCTGTAAATTAGTACAACCTCCATGGAAATCAACATGGAGTTTCCTCAAAAGGCTAGGCACGGAACCACCCTACAACCCAGCTGTCCCACTCCTCGGTATTTATCCTGAAGAATCAAAGCCATCATGTATAGTGACCCATGCATAGCCATGTTTATAGCAGCACAATTCACAAGAGCCCAGTTATGGAACCAGTGTCCATCATTGTCTGAATGGATAAAGAAGTGTGATGTATATGTTCACAATGGAGTTTTATTCAGCCATAAATAAAAATGACACCATGGCATTTGTAGGAAAATGGAAGGAACTAGAGACCATCATCTTAAGTGAAATAAGTCAAACTCAGAAGGTTAAGGGTGGAATGTTTTCTCTCATTTACGGAAGCTAGAGAGGAAGAAGGAAAAAAAAGTCAGGGGTGGATCTCCTAAAAATCAAAGGGAGATCAGTAGAGGGAATAGACCAAGGGATAGATCAGAGGTAGAGAAGGAGGGGCAAAGTGCTAGGGAGTGATATTGGCCTAATTATATTGTTGAATTGTGTGCATGTGTGATTATGTAACAACAAATCCTATCTGTATGTATAACTATAATGCACCAATTAAAAGTCGTGGGGAGAAAAAGACATAAGAGCCCCAGGATCTAAGAGATTAAGGTGTTCCCAATATAACTAAAAGGTTAACAATAAATCAAGATGGGTGCAGTGGCGCGCATGAGTAATCTTAGTGGCTCGGGAGGCTGAGGCAGGAGGATTGCGAGTTCAAAGCCAGCCTCAGCAACTTAGGGAGGCACTTAGCAACTCAGTGAGACCCTGTCTCTAAATAAAATATCTTAAAAAGAGCTGGGATGTTGCTCAGTGGTTAAGTGCCCCTGGGTTCAATCCCTGGTACTCCCCCCCACACACACACACAAATCATAAAATAAGTGTTTAAAAGGTCATTTACAAATATTTTAACAAAAATAGCATATCTCCAAAAAGATAGTAAGTGGGTGGATCATTTTCCTAGGGATACTGTAACAAACCCTACAAACTGGGTGGCTCCAAAGAACATAAATTTGTTCTCTTGAAGGTTTAGAGGCCACAAGTCTGCCATGGAGGGTTGGCAGGGCCACACTGTCCGAAGCTCTATGGAGAATCTTCCGTGGCTCTCCAGCTTCCAGTGGCTCCTGGCTTTCCTTGCTTATGTCAGCATCACCCAGGCCTGAGCCTCCATCTTTAAGTGGGCTTCTCCCCTTAGACCCTCTCTGTGTCTTACATGTATCTCCTCCTTTCTCTACAAAACCAACCACTGAATTTAGGGCCCACCCTAAACCCAGGATTATCTCATCATGGGGTTCTTTGCTCAATTACATCTGCAAAGACCTTCTTTCCAAATAGGGTCCTATTCACAGGTACCCAGGGGTTAGGAGTGGACATATCTTTTGGGGGGACACTAGTCAACGCACTGCCGTAAGTAACAGTGTTTTCTCCTAGGAAGATAGGGTTCAGGATGGGAAGAAGACAAACTTCTCCCTGTATATTCCTTTGAACTTGACTGCCTGTACCCAGGGCAGCAGGCTGGTGATCAGTGGCCAGGATTGAGGGACCAGATCTGAAAAGAAGGAAGAAGTGACACAGCTGCTTTGGGCAACTTACAGTGAAAGATAATTAATGAGGGTTGAAAACCTGCCAAGTGGCAGAAGGCCCAGCTGGGGCTGGTCCCCCAAAGAGTGCAGTGGAGGATGTGGGATGAGAAGTGATTGCCCCTCTGGTTCCATCTGTTGAGGAGCCCAGGGTGCCTGTGGGGCTTCCTTCCTCCCCCGCTTCTATACATATACCCCTGGTGCCTACTGGACATGGGTCCCCTCTTTGCCTGAAGACATCCCAGTCCCTCTGTGCATATGCGTCATCATCCTCTGGGTACACATTGGGAACCCCTGACAGGTGAGAAGCCTTTCATGGGGAAGCCTTGCTCCCAGCTATTCTTAGCAATTCTTGCTACAGGAGGAGGACTTTGATGAGGAAGCTGCCAACAGCAAGTTTGAAATACAATTCTGTTTACTGGCAACAGGAAGGAGAGCCTCCAGTTCCCCTTTTAGCAAACTGTAATGAGCTCCTGTTTTGTGCCAGAATGGTGGGGTGTTTGGTTGGGGGATGAAGCAAAAGAACTAAAGCGGGTAGCTTTGGTCTCACCTCCCAGAGGCCACTGTCAACCCCCTGGTTATATAGCTTTTGTTCAGTGAGCCCTCTGAAGTGAGGTCTTTCCAAACAAGATGGAAAGGGCAGCAATTTGGACTCTAAGATCCAGATTCTATCCTGAGAATATGCTGCACATCTACAGAGTGGGATCCTAAAGCCACCTTTGTTTTTTGCTTCTGGGAAGAGTGCACCTTATGTTTTGTCACACAGCAACCCAGGGCCTGAGCTTCCCTTTCCCCTTTGCATTCTCCTGCCTGGCACACAGTAGGCATCTACCGGACCTTGTCCTGTTGAGTTCTTGGACATGGTGCATAAAAGGAATCTGTGCAAAATGAATTGCAAAATGAATTGTTTGAAATACTGAGCTTGTGCCTACAGTGGAATTTCCAATGTATCTATATGCCATCTTGGAAGATTTAAACACCGAATAGACTCCTTTGAAATGCAGTAGGCTGGAAATCAAAAGGAAGCAGGGTCTTCAAGTTACAGCTATGGTGAAGTACAAGTGTAAGGTGCATAAGGGACAGAGGCCAGAGAGGGATCCGGGCAGAGTTTAGGATGTCAAGTTACAGTCCTTGCAAAGAATTCAGTGGGCAGTGATGAGTGTGCAGTCAGATTGATTAGGAAGGGTCACCGGTCACAGGAAGGAGGAGGGCCCAGGGAGGTTGTTCAACATCGTTCGAGGGAGCAGAGAAGGCATGGTTGACAGGTGGCCAGGCAGACCCCGGAAACACTAGCGAGGTGGGCCAACAGAACTCGGAGTCTGGCATCTCTGGCAGGGCGCAGGGTGAGAGGCAGAGACTGGACAACTCCGAGCGAGCGCAGGCCCAGCTTTCAGCCCAATTAGGATTTGGGATTGTCTTTTACTCCCTATGAGCGTAAAGTGACGCTGTTTGGGGAGGGCGAGGCCGAAACCTGATCCTCCAGTCTTCGGGCTCCGTTAATGTTTAATCAGATAGGATCGTCCGATGGGGCTCCGGTGGCGTGATCTCCTGGACCGGGGCGTCAAGCACCCACACCCCAGAAAGTTTCCTCCCCGAAGTCGAGGCACCCGTGGCTTCAGGCAGTCTCAACGCCACTCCCCTCTGGGTCCAAGCCTGTGGGAGGGATCCCTGCAGCCAGACTCCGACTGCCCGGGCGGGAAGTGACAGCCGCGAGCCCCAGCACTCTTGGCGCGCTTGGCCCAGCTGGGTCCTGAGCTCCCGCTCACTCACGTCCTTCCTCCTTCCAAGAAGAGGATGCGGTCTCTTGGGTCTCCAGCAGTTGGAACGCAAATCGCCCTGATGGGCACCAGCAGCTCTACGCGGCCACGGTGGCCGCTGCCATCGCTGGTACTGCTGCTACTGCTCCTGAGCCCCGCGAACGCCCATGCCCAGGAGGACGAGGACGGCGACTATGAGGAGCTGGTACTCGCCTTTCCCTCGGAGGAGGACGGCCCAGCCGAATCGGCCCCGCACATGGCCACTGCCACCTTCCACCGTTGCGCCAAGGTGCGGGCGCTGGGGTGGGAGGCGGTGGCGAACTTGCCACCGGGACCTGTGGGGATGCCGCTTCTTCTCCTGCTCAGTTTCCCAGTGTAAGGGAGGGGCTGGAGTGAAGGTCTCAGAGAGTCTTCTGCTGGTCCTGTGATGGCTTGGCGCGGTCTGGGGAGGACAGGCTAGGTAGTTGGCGAAAGAGCACTGGCAGCGCTTGGGAACGCGCTGGAGCGTGCGGCTGCACGATGCGGTGGAAGGGTAGCGTGGATGCGGGGGACTGTCAGCCACGAGGTCGGCCGTGCAGCTCCAAGGGGTGAAGGAGTCAACACCTCAGCGCGCTTAGAATGGCCCGGGGTGCAGAGGAAGCAGGCTTATTCCTGTGCGTTCTGACTTGGTTCTGGGAGTCTCCCCGGAGGAGAGTGTTGAGGGTACTGGGGAGAGGGCATCATTTATATAGGGATGGAGGATGGGGGCGGGAGGCAAGTCCTTGGTGCCTTAGAAGTCCAACTGAGGCACATTTTTTTCAGCTAAAGAAAAGAACAAACTGAAGAGGAACTGGTCGCATTATTCTCGAGGTTGACGGGATCTTTGGGTAGAGGAAGGGCTTTCAGTACTGGGGACCTCGGCGGCTGGTGCGCCAGGCAGCCAGGACCCTGGAGCTGAGTCCTGCAGGCAGATGCTGGTCTCCTAGGGTGGGCGTGGCAGGTTCCTGAACTTTTGCTTGCCCTTGGCCTGTTTTGTAGGAAGCTCCTGCCTAGGGTGGGGCTGTTATAACCTTTCGAGGGTTCGGCTGAAGTAATGTTACCTGAGCTTTGAATCAGACGTGGGGTTATCCTTGGCTGCTTCTCTCTAGCTGTATGGAGCTTGGCAAAGTGCTTAAACTTGAGCCTCTATTAAAGGGGAAATGACAATCCTTTCTGAAAGGGATGAAGGGAAAGGAATTCTGGTGACCCCTGAATGACTCCTGGATGTAAGAACCAGAAGCAGTTACTTGATGCAGGTAGTTATTTCCCTGGTTGCAGTGTGACCTGGCCACACCCTCCATGCACAGCTGGGTTTGTGGGTGGTGGGCAAATGAGGATTCTGTGCTCAAAGCTGCCTGGCCTGCTCTTCTGTGTGCTGGCATAGTGTCTGGCCTTCATTCAGTTCCCAGCACCCTCTTCTTTCCCCCTGATCCTTTCACCTGTAGAGAATATCCTGAGGCTGTGGTCTCTCCTACCCCCAAATAACTGTTCCGGCAGGAGTGAGTACCCCATCTTGGGAGGCCAGTGAAAGGAGGCTGGACAACCACCTGGCCACATGCTTGAGGCTGTTTCTTCCCTGGGGGAAGTTTGGAAAAGCTACTTTGTGAAGTTCACTTTTTCTTCCATGCAATGAATATTTCATGGGAATAGAATTTAAAATGAAAATGCTTTTGGCAGACAAAAGGATTTTAGGCCTATCCTTTATTTTCATCCTGAGAAACCGAGGCCCGGAATGGAGGTGCACCAACTCCCTGGTGCGTTGGAATGAGGCTTCCGAGAAATCTTGTTGAACTGTGCAGAGCGTCCTCCTGATTCACAACATTTTCATTTAGTGGCGAGCACCTTACATGGGTCTCTGACCATAAACAGGAGCTCAACAATGAAGGTGGCAGGAGAATTTTACTCTAAGGGAGGGAGCCGCATCAACAAGGTCCAGATATGGGAAAGGCAGAAGTGGAGCTTAAGGAAGCAGTAACATCTCCATCTCCAGAAGTATAAAGCATTCTGAAAACAATAGGTATTTTTTTTTTTTAGATTTAGTTTTATATATTTAGAATTTTTAATTGGCATAGTTATTGTACATATTCATAGGGGTACAATGTGATATGTGGGTACTCGTAGGTAAAGTGCAATGATCAAACATTTAGCATTTATTTGTGGTGAAAAAATTCCAGATCCTCTCTTCTAGCTATTTTGAGATATGCCATTTATTATTGTTAACTAGAGTCACATAGCTTCAAAACTTTTTAAAGGTCCCTTGGATGTCCCATTTGCTTTATTTTCAGAAAAGTGTTCCCCACGGGCCTCGCTACTGGAGCATCCTGAGCCGTCTCTCCTCCTGTCCGTCCTGCTCTTTGCTTCCTCCCCAGGTTTTACTTCCAAAGCTGGTTGATCTTAGCTGTGACATTGTCATTTATCTCCTGCCACCTCACTTTTAAAAAATCTTTCCTTTGACAGACTTTCTGGGTTCTTTTCTGCCTTTCATCTCTGAAAGCAAAAGGCATTTTGCAATCTATTCAGTGGTACATCCTAGCCTGAACCTGACACGAGATTATTCATGATCTTTGTTGATTCCACTTGTGCACAGATGCTACATTTGACTGTATAGAAGAAGGTGCAGACTCCTCGGAGCTGGCTCCCTGGTTACCCATTACTGACTTTTAAATCCAAATGAATTCTGATTCTTGAGACCCTTCTGGTCCTAAAACTTTGAATGAAGGGCTGTGGACTCTCCTCTGCTAGAGTGCATAGACAGAGATGCAGGCGGCAGGCTGCAGAGGTACGTTGAGACAGAGTGGCCAGGGAGGACATGGAGACTGAACTTTATTCATCAGTCTGTGGTGAACCATGGAAGCTTGCAGGTGTGTCTGCTTGAGACAAGTTATATCCGGCAAGAGCAAGACCAAACAAATCTCTGACATTCTGCAGCCTTCTGCCTGCATTATACAAACTTCTTTCTTGGCCTTGACAGCAGGCCTGTTCCATAGGTATTGTGGTTCTTGTAATACAGAGGAGACATTGGAGGCTCAGAAAGGTTGAGTGACTTGCTCATGGCCACACAGCCAGTAAACCTTGGAGATGGGATTCAGGTCCACATTTTTCTGGCTCCAAAGCCCGTGGATATTCTCTTTTGCACTGCCTCTGAAGGGGAGTCATGGAGGTACTAGGATGGGGAGGAAGTGATTTTTTTCTGACAGGGGTACTAGGGAGGGAGTGTGACTGGGAAGGCTTCTGGGAGTGGCTGGCCTTTGGGCAGGGCTACCAGGAATGACCAGGCCTGGGTTGTCCCTAGAGAGGTTACAGAAGAGACTTTGTTGTTGAGTGTACCCCACAGTTCCCCTTTGTGCCTGACAAACTCTGAAGTGTATAAACTATGATAATGCTAAGAGTTGGCTTGTATGTGGGTTTTGCTTTTCAGTCCTAATTTGGTAAATTCTGTTTATAGTTTACTACACTCCATTGTGATTCTTTTGACATAATCCTAATTTGTAAACAGAGGGGGATAAGGTTAGGGCAGGGCTTGTTGGTATTTTTTTTTAACTGGTGCTTTATAGATGAATGGAATTATGGCATTTGCTAGTAAATGGATGGAACTGGAGAATGTCATGCTAAATGAATTAAGCCAGACTCAGAAAATCAAGGATTGAATGAAACTTTTTTGGCTAGAGCAAAATGAGGGGGGGGAAGGGAGTGGAGCTCTGATAGCATAAAGATAAAGGGTAGCTCAGTCGAGCAGAAGGAGATTTGGGGGATTTTAATGTTATTAATGTTACCCTTCCTTGCTTGGGGCCAGGATGCCTGGAGGTTGCCGGGCACCTATGTGGTGGTGCTGGGGGAGGAAAGCCACCGATGGCAGACGGAGCGTGTGGCCCGACATCTGCAGGCCCAGGCCGCCCGCCGGGGCTACCTCACTAAGGTCCTGCATCTCTTCCACGACCTCTTTCCTGGCTTCCTGGTGAAGATGAGCAGTGACCTGCTGGACCTGGTGAGTCACCCTCTCTGGGCATGGCACTTTCTGAAGGGGCTGGATGCCACTTGCATGTTGAGCATCGACACTAGTGTGCCCATTGCTAAAAATCAGGGGGAGACACAAGTAATTACTGAGTATATACCAAGTGTACCACTGGTACCAAGCCCCATGATTGCTGGCTCAATGGGTAGATGCCTCAGAAGCCTGGCTATCCCCAGTCCATCTGAATTTGAAATGAGGATTCCAAGGTTCATAAAGGACCACGCAGATAGCTAGGAGTTGGCTTCTATGTGGGTTAGCTGGTGTCCAACCTGACAGTCTGCTGGCTGGAGGCCTTTGTGCTGAAGTATCTACTACTTGTCCCCTATAGGGACAAGGCCCTGGGACATTTGCTGGAGCCTCAACCATTTCATAAAAGCATATAAAAGGGGACTGGGGTTGTGGCTCAGAGCACTTGCCTGGCATGTGTGAGGCCCTGGGTTCGATCCTTAGATAAATAAATAAATAAAGTAAGAACTCCATTGGCAACTAAAAAATATTTTTTAAAAAGCATATAAAAGGGCTTGTATAAAATGACATGGGGACAGGTTTGATCAGGTGGTGCTGGCCAAATGGCTCTGAAGCAGAGTCCCCTGACCTGTGTCTTCTGCAGGCCCTGAGGTTGCCCCATGTTGAATACATCGAGGAAGATTCCTCTGTGTTTGCCCAGAGCATCCCGTGGAACCTGGAGCGGATCATCCCTGCACACTACCAGGCCACGGAACAAAAAGCCCCCCGTAAGACCCCCGTTGTGCCTGGCCCTCCGCACCCTGTGCGAATGCCCTTGCTCTGTTGTGGTCTCTCTTCTTCTCAGAGGCTTGGGACTCAGCATACTCTGCTGACCTCTTCTGCTCCGGTTCCAATAGATCCCTCTTGCTTTCTCTTCCTCCACCCAGAATGCAGGTGTTTTTCCTTAAGCGATGCTATCTCACCTTCTAGAAGCTCTTGTTCACCTCTCCTCTCCAAGGCTACACTTGTCTTGGGAAAGGCTACGTCTGACCATGACTCATGGTGTCTGAATGCCCAGCCCTGCAGACAGGATCAGACCTCTGAGTGGGACAGACATGGCCCCGTCTGGACTGCCCCCACCTAGCTCTCGGTCTCCTCACCTGCGCATCCTGCCTTCAGCTCCATTAGACTGTCTGGGTCTCCCTGTGTGGGCCATGCCACATCCCCTGCAGGTCTTGCAGCCATGCTTCCTTCTGCCTGGTGCAGCCTGCCTATGAAGGGCGAGGAGGAGAGGCCAAGAAGAATGGCCTGGGTCGTGACAGGGCCCCATGGGGGACACTGAGTTGGGGAAGGCTGTAAACGCACCTGCTTAGGGGAGGAGATCAGTTCTAGTTGGACCTTGTTGAGTTTGAGGTGCCCATAGCCTGAGGTTGAGCTCTGTGGAGAGTCCGTGCAACACGGAGTGAGGCTTCAGATCTCGGGGTGAGCACAGCTTCCACCCCTTCTCTGATAATTGCAGGTCTTTGGGAGCTGCTTCCCTCTCTGAGTCTCTTTTTCCTGATCTGTAAAATGGGCACAGTAACCTGTCCCTGTCCTCCTCTCAGGGTTGTTGTGAGGCTCCAGTGAGGTGAAGCATGTACCAATGCTTTGGGAACTGAAAGGTGCAGTGGCTTCTGAGTTGCTGTCCTTGTGACAGGTCAGGGGTTGTGCACAAGGTAGAGGGTGAGGAGATGGAGCACCTGACATGGGTGGCCGCTGCAGAGGTGGGGGCCTGGTCTGGGCAGACTGTAGTGGAAAGTGCCAGGTTGGTTTTGCAGGAGGAGCTGCCTGCCACCCAGGTGCACCTCTCCAGGTGAGTCCTAAGGCCCCCGGGATCCCAGGTCCACACCCAAGAGCCAGAGGGCAGAGAGGCCCCAGCCAAGCAGGAATGAGGGAAGGCTGTGCTCCTGAATAAGCTTCAAAGGATGCTGTCTCCAAATACTACAAACTAGAGGCATAGATGAGAGAGGTTTCTTCTCTACAGTCTCCTCCTGCCACAGGGTACAGTGGACAGTAGCATAGAGGATGGAGAGATGACAGCTGGGGCAAGCCCAGCTCTGGCAGTGTGGTATTGTATGGTGGGAAGACAGAGGAAGGGGGCTGACCTTGATTGAAATTAGTGTGGGATCTCAGAGAAGCCACTGAGATGCCCTGACATAGACTGAATGATACACACACTCAGAGCCTGTGAATGTGACCTTATTTGGAATAAAGGTCTAAGTAGATGTAATTAAGGATATTGAGATGAGATCATCCTGGACTGTCCAGAAATTTCTCAATCCAGTGCCTTTCCTTGTAAAAAAGGCAGAAGGACAGTTGAGACATACAGAAGAGGAGGCCGTGTGGAGTGATGGCAGAGACTGGAGGGATGTGGCCACAAGCCAAGGAATGCTAGTAGCCACTAGGAATTGAAAGAGGCTCCCTATTGCCTTTGCAGGGAGTATGGCCTGGTCAACCCCTTGGTCTTGAACTTCTGGCCTCTGTATCTGTGACAGAATGTCTATTGTAAGCCACTGGGTTTGGGGTAATTTGTTACAGCAGCTCTACATAACTAATACACATTTTGGTCCTGTCATGAGATGTGACATCATGTCACATTGAAAATGAAGCATTTTCAGTGGGTCACCATGGCAGCCTTAGAAGAAGGTCGTAACAGAGAATGCACAGACCTGGTGCCAAGAGGCCCAGACTCACGCAGCCTCTCCCAACCTCCGTTTCCTCAGTGACATGAGCTGGCCAGCTCAGGTGGGCCTGCTTTTCTTCTTGAACTCTTCAACTGGATCAGTGACCTTTCAAAGGCTATAAATATGGGCTTGGTTTATTTACACTATCATATTTATTGTTTTTTGAATGCCCTTTTTGTTAGTGTTATGGAGTCAGAGACCTTGGTTCACTTCCTGTCTCTGTCATTTGCCAGCTACTTGGCCTTGGACAGTTCTATGCCTTTCTATGCCTTACTGCATCCGTCTTATAAAATAAAGACTTAACAGCACATAGCCTGAATTTTTGTAAGGTTAAACGAATTTATGTATTCACGGTGCTTACAGCAGGACTTGGGATGTGGTAGACAGTTTGTGTGCAGTAGTTATAACATTGACCTCATGGGTATCCTCTCCCACAAACGCTGCCTTGGAAAGATGGAGGTGGCCTGGTGGAGGTTTATCTCTTGGACACCAGCATCCAGAGCAGCCACCGGGAAATCGAGGGCAGGGTCACTGTCACCGACTTTGAGAATGTACCTGAGGAGGATGGGACACGCTTCCACAGACAGGTGAGCATGACCCTCAGGTGGGAAGGCTGCCCCCATCTCTCACTCCCCTCCTGGAGCTGGTGGGGACCACCCCCTCCCTGGAGCATTGTGTCTGCATAACCCAGCAGCCACTGTCCCTTCTTTACTATTGGGTGTGGGGAGAGGGTGTCAGTCTTTCCACCCACCACGGATGTATCATGGGCTGGGTGGGCTTTCTCACGTGGTCCTTGTGTTGGTTGAGCAGGCTAGCAAGTGCGACAGCCACGGCACTCACCTGGCAGGGGTGGTCAGCGGCCGGGATGCTGGTGTGGCCAAGGGCGCCAACCTGCGCAGCCTGCGCGTGCTCAACTGCCAGGGGAGGGGCACTGTCAGCAGCACCCTCATAGGTGAGTGGCAGCCCTTGACAGCACTGGTCTCTCTCCATCTGGACCTGGTGTGGGAGGGGGTAGGTTAAGACAGAGAGCACTAATTTCCCTGACTGAGAAGGCTGAGGCCACCTCCGCCATGGAGGTCCAGAGTGTTAGAGAGGGCAGGGCCCCGAGGCCACAAGTGCAAATGGAGGTCACTGAGGTCAAGAGGGCAGAGGCTCCGCCAAGCGGGTGCTCTTCCCACGATTCCTCACTGTCTGCCTTTCCAACTCCTGTGAAATTGGAGTTGTCACTTTATCTTGGATTCAGATGAACCCTGAGGTAATCGAAACAAGCTTTCTCCATCTTCCGCTTGCTTCCCTCACTGGCTTCCATGACTGACTAGGCAGGCCCGGCAGGTCACCCTGGCCAGGCAGACTTGGTGGAGGAAATGACGGGGCCTTTTCCAGACTCTGGCAGCTTCCTTCATCCAGTCCACCTGGTGGCATCTAGGACATCTAGCCGAGAGCTAACACTCTAAGCCCCTGCCCCAAGCCTTCATGACTGACCTCCTGAGCCTGGGGGGCTCTGGCTCGCCATCATCCTGTTGAGCCCACATACTGAGCAAAGGACTTCATATAGCAGGCCCTGAGACTGGCATGTGACACCTGTTAAACCATTTGTCCAACCCGCCAGAGACGGGTGCCTTGCTCGGGTGACACAGCTAGAGTCCGTGATCTCACTGGAGAAAGGGCTGGCTCTGGGCAGTGGCTTGACCCCCACTGGCTCTCAGCTGGCAGAGGGAGCCCCAGCCTGTTTGAGAGGCTGTGTGGCTCAGGAGCCTGTCTGTGCCTATGAGCTCTGCCCTCCTTCCAGAGACCTCACTCAGTCTTTTCTGACCGTCTTCTAACAAATTGGAGGGGGTCTTCCTATAGGCTGGCGGTCATCTGCTCAAAGTAAACAAATAAATGGCTTAGATGTCAGTCATATAAAAAAACTGCCTTCACAGCAGCATTTAGACTGGAGCGTGATCAAACTCAGGATCAAACTTTGTGCCAAACTCAGGGCACAAAGGTGACACAAAATGAAACATCATCCTGTGCCCCTGTGGGAAGGAGGTGCAGGGGGCAAGCACACCTCCCCAGGAGGTGACTGGGCTTTGTTCTCTCAGGCCTGGAGTTTATTCGGAAAAGCCAGCTGGCCCAGCCCGTGGGACCGCTGGTGGTGCTGCTGCCCCTAGTGGGTGGCTACAGCCGGGTCCTCAATGCTGCCTGCCGGCACCTGGCAAGGACTGGAGCGGTGCTGGTGGCGGCTGCGGGCAACTTCCGGGACGACGCCTGCCTTTACTCCCCAGCCTCAGCTCCAGAGGTAGGTGCCAATGCGGCTGCCCCCCAGGAAGGAGGGGAAGCAGGCAGGCCCCGGGGTGTTGCTGGAGGCTGAGCTGCTGCAGCTTTGGAGGAAGTTGTCAGCCCCTGAGTGCAGAAGCCAGGGAGGGGGCTGCACCTCTGCTGTGCCAGAGTCTGGAAGGAGCAGCACCCCAACTCTCCCTCCCCATGTAGCCACACCCCCTGTCCTCTCCTGGCCATTTTCTGCCTGAAAGTTTTCTGAATGTCCTGCCCCTTTCCTCCTCCCAAGGACCTGGGGCTCCTCTCTTCTTCCCTGGGGTGGACAGAATGGCTTCCTCAGGCTTCTCCCACCTTCCCCTGCTTTCCCTCCCAGGCTACCCTATGAGGGCCCTGGGGCTCCACCTAAAGCACAAGCCAACCCACCCCTTTCTCCTGTCCAGCACCCCCAAGGCCTCCCCACTGGCCATGCCTCCCCAAAGCCCCTGCCCCAAGCCTTCATGACTGACCCCCTTTGCAAGGCTAATGAGATTGGGAGCCATGGAAGGTCCAAAGCCACTCATGTGAGGAATGTCCTGAGCCCTGCTGTGTGTCTGTTGCTATTACAGGCCTGTTCCAGGCAGGGGAGCATGTGAACACTTCTGCTCCTCTGGAGGAGCTGACAGTGTTGGGGGGGCACCTTGTCCTTCATCTGAGTAGCACTTGCAGGACACCCACCATGTGTCAGGCTGTCTGGGTGCTGGGGATACCAAAGGGAAGGACTCTTGTTCCACTTGGGGGGCTTCATGGTCTAGCATGGGGCCTGGGGGGTGGTGCAGGTATAGTCCTGGTAGTATGACCTGGGCCTTCTCTAGCCCAGCAGAGCCTTCCCCAGGTGCTGAATTCAAAATTGCCTAAAACCCAGCACAGTATCTCCGCCTTACTGCGCTGGATTTCCCCATAAGGTTTATAATTGCCAAAGGGCATGGGGTGGTTTCCTGTTTACCGTCCGTCTCCCCACCAGGATGAAAGTTCCACAGAGGCATCAGGAATGATGCTGGGCATATGGTTGACTCTTTTCTCTTTCACCCAACTCCTCATCTTTCCAGGTCATCACAGTTGGGGCCACCAATGCCCAGGACCAGCCAATGACCCTGGGGACCTTGGGGACCAACTTTGGCCGCTGCGTGGACCTCTTTGCCCCGGGAGAGGACATTATTGGTGCCTCCAGTGACTGTAGCACTTGCTTTGTGTCACAGAGTGGGACATCACAGGCTGCTGCCCATGTGGCTGGTGAGTCACCCCCTGTCATCCTGGCGACCATGATGCTAACAGCCCCTTGGGCAGGCAGGTAGGCTCTGTGTTAGGACCTCTGAGTGCCAGGCTCTGTGTTGGAGGACCAAACACGAGGAAGACCTGAGGGGCCTGTGTTAGCTGGCTTCCTATTACTGTGACAAAACACTTGGGTGATCAACTTAAAGGAGGAAAGTTCTATTTCAACTCATGGTTTCAGGCCATAGTCTTGGCCTCATTTTCTCTGGGTCTTTGGTGAGGCAGAACATCCTGGTGGAGAGTGTGTGGTGGAACAAGTTGCTCATAGTGACTGGAGAGAGACAAGAAGAGGCCAGGGTTCCAATATCCCCTTTAAGGTCATGCGCCCAGTGACTTATTTCCACTAGGTCCCCTCTCCTAAAGGTTCCACCACCTTCCAATATTTCCACAGGTTGGAAACCCAACCTTGAACATTTGGGCTTTTGGGAACATTCCAAGCCTAGTCCAGCATGTTAGTCAGTTTTTCATTGTTGTGACAAACATCTTTAAAAACAAACACAAACAAAAAAACCTTAGAGGAGGAAAGATTTGTTTTTGGTGCATGGTTTCCGAGATTTCAGTTCATGGTTGGCCAGCTCCACTGTCCTGGGCTTGAGGTGAGGCAGGACTTCATGGTAGAAAGGTGTACTGGAGCAAAGCTTCTCAATTCATGGCCACCAGGAAGCAAAGATAGAAGGAGCTGGGGACAAGATGCACCCTTCCAAGGCATGCTCCCAGTGACTGATTTTCTCCAACCATGCCCTACTACTTACAATTTCTATCACCTCGCAAGAGTCCCTTCAGCTACCAATGGATTAATCCACTGATGAGATTAGAGTCCTCTCCACAGCCCCCACCTCTGAACACTGCTGCATTGGGAGCCAAGCCTTCAATACATGAGCCTTTGGGGGACATTCCAGATCCAAACCATAATGACTAGACATGGTAGTGCACAATCTGAAATCCCAGTTACTCAGGAGACTGAGGCTGGAGGATCTCAAGTTCTAGGCCAGCCTGGGCAACTTAGTGAGACCTTATTCCAAAATAAAAAATTTAAAAGAGGGCCAGGAATGGCAGAGTGCTTGCTAGTATGTGCCAAGCCTTGGGTTTGATCCCTAGTTCTACCCACCACCTCCCCCGAAAAAAAAGAAGAAAGAAAGAAAGAAAAAATCCAAACTGTAACAGTGCCCTCAAGAACACTCAGTCTAATAGGTTAGGCAGATGATAAACAAAAGGAACACAAAGTATTCAGAGCTCTGTCAGAGGGAACCCAGAGGAGGCACCTGTACAGCCTGAGGGGTCAGGGAAGGCTTCTTGGAGAAGGGACATTTGATTTATGGTTTCGTGGATGCACAGAAGTTCTCCTGAACATCAATCACCAAGACCCAGCGGCAGACAAGCAGATCATCTGCCTGATTTCACTAAGCCGGGGATTGCAGGTGGCTTAACTTCAGGAAGAACAGCTTGGTTGTTTTTGTGTCTGTCTGTGCATGTGCACCCTAGCAGGAGTGCCTGGCTGGGAAGGAAGGCCAGACCACGATATCTCCTCCTCCGCCCCCCCCCCCACCAGGCATTGTGGCCATGATGCTGACAGCTGAGCCCGAGCTGACCCTGGCCAAGCTGAGGCAGAGACTGATCCGCTTCTCTGCTAAAGATGTCATCAACAAGGCCTGGTTCCCTGAGGACCAGCGGGTACTGACTCCTAACCTGGTGGCTGCACTGCCCCCCAGCACCCATTCAGCAGGTAAGCAAGATGGCAGGATGGGCAGAGTCTGGCCTGGGACTGAGAGGCCTGTGTGACCTTGGCAAGTCTCCCCTCTGTTTGGTGTCTGCAAGGAGGAATGTGCCACCTCGAGAGGGGACTGGACTTGGATAAGGCTTTGCAATATTTTTATAGGGGGTTTTATGGGAGAAGTTCAATGTGTTCTTTCAGCCCACCCCCCACCTCCCATGAACTAAAGCTTTTTCTAGCACCCCCTGGTGGATGCTCCTCCATCCCTGAACCACTCCCTCACCCTGGGTCTTGTTGCAGGAGGACAGCTGTACTGCAGGACGGTGTGGTCGGCACACTCAGGGCCCACGCGGACAGCCACAGCCGTGGCCCACTGTGCCCCAGGCGAGGAGCTGCTGGGCTGCTCCAGTTTCTCCAGCAGCGGGAAGCGGCGGGGCGAGCACATCGAGGTGACCTTACCCCTCTGTGTGTGTGTGTGTGTTTTCATGGGAAGCAGGGTTCTCACTTCTAGGACCTGATCAGCCCCCAGCCCTAGTGACTGGACCCCAGTCTCCACCTGCTGGTTGAAAAGTGTTGACCAGTGCAGGGGTGGGGGGCTGCTGGTGCACATACCTAGAGGGCTTCCTGGAAGAGTGCAGGACATCCTGGGCCCGCCTGGTGCAGGGGAGGACAGTGACTTCCCTGGACCCAGCATCCCCAGGGCCCATTTACCCAGAGGGTCCCTGGTTCTAGGAGTTGAGGAATCTCCATCCTGCAAATGGATCGGTGCGGATGCTTCAGGGGTGACACATGAACTCTTACCACTGTGTTTGGAGGGCAGGGCTGTGCCTGGCTGGGAGGGTGGGGGTCACTAGGCACTTGTGGCCCAGGAGATTGGTTGGCTGTGAGTGCTGGCTTAGGGGCCAGGTGGGTTAAGGGAGAGGGGTGGGTCCTTGTGTCAGTGTCTTAGATTTCATGTATCTTCATTTTGAGGTCACGGTCAGTTTCTGGAAGAACTTTATAAAACACACAGCTGTCCATTGGCAGAAGAGCCTGCCTCTGGCAGGAGTGAGCTCCTTGTCCCCAGAGGAGTGGGAACCAGAATGTGTTGAGGACTTCAAGGGCTTGGACTGGGTGCTTGGGTTCGATGCCTTCTGGCCCCAGCATCTGGTGTTTCCCAGGCTATTTGTAAAGTGGGTTCCTGTTTCTGTCTTTGGTCCTCAGACCCGAGGGAGCCGGCATGTCTGTCTGGCCCTTAACTCTTTTGGAGGTGAGGGTGTCTACGCCGTTGCCAGGTGCTGCCTGCTACCCCAGTCCAACTGCAGTGTCCACACAGCTCCTCCAGCCAGGGCGGATAAGGAGACCCGTGTCCACTGCCACCAAGAGGGCCAAGTCCTCACAGGTAGGAGGCGGGGCCCTGCCTTGGGGTGAGGAAGAGTCCCTGTCTCCTGACATGGCCAACCTCTGCATGGTCCTCAGGAGTACGAATGGTCAGACCTCTGGAGCCTGAGTGCTACTTGCAAACTCCCCTTCTGCCACCTTCACAGTGTGACCCCGGCAGGCCACTCTCTCTGTTTCAGCTTTCCTCTGCATAAGAGGGTAACACCTACCTCCATGGCTGTGATGAGAAGGGTGGCATTTGGAACAGGGGCCTGAAGCTCTGTGTGCCCTTCACCAAGGCAGCCCAGGGCAGCAGGTGCAGGGTAGAGCAGGCTCCGGGGCCTGGAATGAACCTGAGAATTCCACTCTCCTGCTCAATAGTTGGGCAAGTAAATCAACAGCTTTGTGCTAAACTTTTCTCATAAATTGGAGAGGATGGGTGCTATGCACTGAGCCTGATGCTGGGATTGTATACATTCCCGCTGTTGTTATTATGGTTTCTTTTCACATTTTTAATTGGTGCCTTATAGTTGTACATAATGATGGGATTTGTTGTCACACATCATACATGCACACAATTTGCAATGGAACAATAACAATGCCCTTTACTGATCTCCCTTTGATTTTTAGGAGATCCACCCCTGACTTTCTTTTCCTTCTTCCTCTCTAGCTTCCACATATGAGAGAAAACATTCCACCCTTAACCTTCTGAGTTTGACTTATTTCACTTACGATGATGGCCTCTAGTTCCTTCCATTTTCCTACAAATGCCATGGTGTCATTTTTCTTTATGGCTGAATAAAACTCCATTGTGTGCATATACATCACATTTTCTTTATCCATTCAGACAATGATGGACACCTAGGCTGGTTCCATAGTTGGGCTCTTGTGAATTGTGCTGCTATAAACATGGCTATGCATGGGTCACTATACATGATGGCTTTGATTCTTCAGGATAAATACCGAGGAGTGGGACAGCTGGGTTGTAGGGTGGTTCCATGCCTAGCCTTTTGAGGAAACTCCATATTGATTTCCATGGAGGTTGTACTAATTTACAGCCCCACCAACAGTGTAAGAGTGTTCCCTTTTCTCCACATCCTGTCCAGCATTTATTATTATTTGTGTTCTTGATGACTGCCATTCATCTCAAACTACTGTGAGATGAAATCTCAGTGTAGTTTTGATTTGCATTGCCCTAATTGTTGATGATGTAGAACATTTTTTCATGTATTTGTTGGCCATTTGTATTTCTTCTTTCGAGAAATGTCTGTTTAGTTCATTTATTTGTTTATTAATTTGGTTATGTGACCTTTTGGTGAAGTTTTTTGAGTTCTTTGTATATTCTAGATAATTAATCCTCTGTCAGAAGAGTAGCCAAGGAAGATTTTCTCCCACTCTGTAGGTTCTCTCTTTGCATTTCTAATTGTTTCCTTTGCTGTGCATAAGCTTTTTAACTTGATGTCACTTCATTTACTAACTCCTGGCATTATTTCCTGAGCTGTAGGGGATCCTATGGAGAGGATTGTTGCCTGTGCCTAAACGCTGGAATGTTGGCCCTAAGATTTCTTCTAGGAGTTGCATAGTTTCTGATCTAGTTCCTAGGTCTGTGATCCATTATGATTTTTGTGTGGGGTATAAGGGCTTAGTTTCATTCTTCTGCACATGGATAACCAGTTTGCCATTTGTTAAAAAGGCTGGCTTTTCTCCAAGGCATGTTTTTGGCAATTTTGTCAAGGATCAAGATGACTGTAGATGTGTGGGTTTGTCTCTGTATCTTCTCTTCTGTACCATTGGTCTATGTGACTGTTTTTATGACAGTACCATGTAGTTTTTGTCATTATAGCTCTTTGGTATAATTTGAAGTCAGGTATTGTGATACCTCCAGCATTGCTTTTTGTGGCTTAGAATTGCTTTGGCTCTTTTAGGTCATATTTATTCTGCCAAATGAATTTTAGGACTGTTTTTTCAAGTTCTGTGAAGAATGTCATTGGTACTTTGATGGGGATTACATTGAATCTGTATCGTGCTTTTGGTTGTGTGGCCATTTTAACAATATTATTTCTTCCTATTCATGAACATGGAACGTTTTCCATCTTCTGAGGTCTTCTTTAATTTCTTCCTTCAATGTTTTGTAGTCTTCATTACAGAGGTGTTTTGTCTCCTTGTTTGGATTTATTTCTAGTTTTTTTTTTTTGAGGTGTTTGGGAATAGAATTATTTTCTTCATTTCTTTCTCAGCAGATTCTTTGTTTATATATAGGAAAGCTATTGATTTTTGTATGTTGATTTTGTAAGTGGCTCCTTTGTCAAATTTGTTAATTAGCTGCAGCAGTCTTTTGGTGGAGTTCTTTGAATCTTCTACGTGTAGGATCATATCATTTGCAAAAAGTGATAATTTGACTTCTTTCTTTCCTTTTATAAAATCCATTTTCTTTTTTTTCTCTTGCCTAATTGCTCTGGCTAGAATTTCTAGCACTATATTAAACAGGAGTGGACATCCTGTTAATCCCAGATTTTAAAGGAAATACTTTCAGTTTTTCCCCATGTATTATGTTTTAGTTAGCTTTTTCCCTGCTGTAACTAAAAGACCTGACAAGAACAACTGCAGAGTAGGAAAAGTTTATTTGGAGACTCACGGTTTCAGAGGTCTCCATCTATAGAAGGCCTGCTCAATTCCTCAGAGCTCAAGGAGAGGTAGAAAATCATGGTAGGATAGTGGTGGAGGGAAGCAGCTCACACAGAAAGCAGAGAGAAAGGCTCCACTTGACAGGTATAAAATATATAACCCAAAGGCACACCCCCAGTGACCCACCTCCTCCAGACACAACCTACCCACTTTCAGTTACCACTCAGTTAATCTGCACTATGGGATTAATTCAATGATTGGGTTAAGACTCTCATAACTTAATCATTTCTCCTCTACACCTTCTTGCATTTTCTCACATAGGAGCTTTTGGGAGATATCTTACATCCAAACCATAACATTCCCCACCTCTGACCCCAAAAGCCCATGACCATCTCACAATGCAAAATACATTTTGTCCATTTCCAAGAGTCCCCATAGTCTGAACAGTTCCAAGATTGCCTAAAAGTTCAAATCCACAGTCTCCTCTGAGACTCAGGACAAGCTTGCATCATGAACTCCTGTATAAATCAAAAGCTACTTACAAGTATACAATAGATACAGGTACAGAATAAACATTTCCATGCCGAAAAATAGGGGCATAGAAAGAAGGATGGGACCAAAGCAAGACTGAAATCCAGCTGGGAAAACAAGTCCTGTAGCTTCATGTCCAGCATCTGGGACACATGGCATGGAGATGTTCTGTTCAAAGGACTTGCTCCTGCAGCCATGTTGGTTGCAGCCCAAGTGGCTTTTCTGTTGGCTTGTCTCTGGTCAATTTCTGACACTGCTGTACTCTGTCTGGCCTCCCAGGCCTTCCTTTGAAATCTTGATGGAAGCCTCCGTAACCTCCTAACTCCATCATCTTGCATTCCTGCAGAACCAGGACTATGTGGTTGACACCAAGGTCGCTGCCATCTTGAGCCTCCAAGGACACTGGCTGTAGCAGCCTCTGAGTGTCTGGGTAGCTGAGCATGTTGAAAAACTTCCTTGTGCAAGAAGGGTACACCACTGGTCTCTTCCCAAGAGATGTTTTACTTTTACTTCCTTGAGTCTGAGATGGATAGGATCTTACCAATTCCTGAAATGCCCTTAAGCCATCTTCCCTGTCGTCTCTGGGCAGTCTTTAGTGTTTCTTTAATGGCAGTAATGTCTTTAATAACTGTAACTTCCTAAGCACCAGTTTTGCTCCCTTCTTTCAAATACAAGTTTTTCAAATATTTCTGCTCCTGAATATCACAAAAAACTTGATTTAAAGCTGCAGCAATATCCATGCCACTGCCTGAATGCTATTCTGCATAGATATTTCTTCTGCCAGATTAAGAAGTCCATCACTTTTAAAATCAGCCCCACCCAAAGTTTAAGGTTTATAGGCAAGATGTTTATAGGCAAGATGCAGATAACTTAGCCAGAACATAACAAGCCTTTAGTCCAATTGCTGATAGTGCCCTCCTTTTCCTTTAAAACCTCATGAGCCCTGTCTTCCTATTGGCATGCTGGTCTTCTGAGTTCCCACCACTATCAGCCATTAAGCTCTGCTTAAAACAATCTAAAGCATTTCCAGCTTGCACTGTTACACATCTCAAAATTCTTCCAACCAATTCCAAAAAGCTTCTGAACCACTCGGTCAGTTTAGTTAAAGCAATGACCCCACTCTTGGTACTGATTTCTGTTTTAGTCATCTTTTTTTTTTTTTTTTGCTACTGCAACTAAAAGACCAAACCAGAACAACTTTAGAGTAGGAAAAGTTTATATAAGAGCCCATGGTTTCACAGGTCTCAGTCCATAGACAGCCGACTCCATTCTTTCGGGTCCAAGTGTAAGAGTAAAAGAAATTGAAGTTAAAGTGTAAAAAAACCCGGGTATTGTAAAGTTTCTAAGCTGCAAAGCCTGAGTTAAAATGTAAAGGACCAGGTATTGTTAAGTTCCTATGCTACACCCCCCAAACCTGAAATTCCTGTAGCTGTTAAAACAATTCCCGGGACTGCCCAGTAAATATTCCCCCTGACCATCTAGTTGTTTAATAACCTAGGACCCTGTGCAGCTTGGCACGTAGGCATCTCAGGGCCTAAACCAATCAGTTTGAATGTACCCCCCCTTCCCGCCCGACCTGTTCCCGCCAATGAATGTGCTAATCAAGTTTGAGAGTGTTGTTTGATTTTCCCGCGCCTCATGATGATTTGTTCTGATGTATGCAAAGCCCCTGCCCTCCCCAAAAAGTGTACTTAAGCACTGCTTAACCTCTGCTCGGGGCTCTGGGCCACTCTCCCTTGTTGAGTGAGCCTGGAGCCCCAGCACGCTGGATTGGATCCTCAATAAATCCCCTTTTGCTGTTGCATGAGCTGGTCTCTTGGTGGTCTCTTCCTCCGACGTTCGCTGGACCCTTACACAAGGTGAGGC